AATATCAGGACAGTTTTGGTCGGGAGCCGCCTCGGCTCCGCCTCGGCTGGGCCCCTCGACCAAAACTGTCCTGATATTCACCGATACACCTCGGAAAGTGTGCTAATAACTACTACATAAATATACTATGGGGCCCATCTCTATGCAATCACATCATTTGTGAATAGTCCAAAAATATAGTGGCTGTTAGCGGCCATTTAAATGAATCAAAATCGTCGCCCTGTGAAGAAGGCGACAAGTCGACAAGTCGACGGAATTGACCCGACAAGTCGACGAAATGAAGGCGGATTATTTTGTCGTGTCGGCGGGTTGATTTTGTCGACTTGTCGCCTTCGACTTATTCACAACCCGACAAGGCGACGAAATACAATTATTTCGACTTGTCGTGCGGCGACTTGTCGCCTCGGAAGTCAAACTCGAGCTTGCGCATTTGTTGATTGGATAACTTGCATGCGCACAGGTTAACTTCCGAGGCGACAAGTCGCCGCACGACAAGTCGCCGCACGACAAGTCGAAATAATTGTCGGGTTGTGAATAAGTCCAAGGCGACAAGTTATCCAATCAGCAAATGCGCAAGCTCGAGTTTGACTTCCGAGGCGTCAAGTCGCCGCACGACAAGTCGAAATAATTGTATTTCGTCGACTTGTCGCCTTGTCGGGTTGTAAATAAGTCGAAGGCGACAAGTCGACAAATCGACAAAATCAACCCGCCGACACGACAAAATAACCCGACGATCGTCGCCTTCATTTCGTCGACTTGTCGCCTTCTTCACAAGGCGACGATTTAGATTCATTTGAATGGCCGCCAACAGCCACCATAAAAAAACGAACGAAAAGTAATTTAAAAATGTTAAAATGTTATTAACCCAGTGTTAAAATCAGTTTGTGTCGACATTACTTTTATATTTTAATCGTTTACCGTGAAACAAAGTAGCACAGCTTTACGGTTGTGCTAATATTTTGGATGTATATAACATATACATATATGCATACCTGTCGTATAATTATACTAAACATACAATATACATATATACCCTTTTTTACATACCTGTCGTGCAACCCTACTACATATATATATATATATATATAATATATACATACCTGCTGCATATACTACTATACAAAACATATACATATACGTTAGATTAATATAAGACATTTTGTGAATAACAGACGTTGGCATGTTAAAAGATGTTCTTATTTACGCCCTATCATTATAACATATGACACAATTATATGAAATACAAGTTACTTGAAAGATTTATTTATGGTGACGTCTTAATCAAGCAAAGAATGGCCTTATGTTTGCATCAGAGAGTTTAAAAAGAGTTAGCACGTTAAAAGATTATCCTGTTCACGTTCTATGATTATGTTTATATAGGTAAGTTTACAAACAGGAAGTTAAATTAAATAGAGTGAAACACGCTGCATATTATTTCATACAACTATGATATTGGTACAAATCATAAACCACGTATCAAAAAGCAGCGTGAGGGGATACGATATCCGGGAGTTTAACGCCATGCGAGGTTTAACGCGTGCCAGTTAGACCGTAAGGTCAGTCAGTGAGTCAAGTGGGGTGGTGTCGATTCCCCCACTTGTACCTGACTACGAGTAGGGTGGCCTAACCTCATGGGTTTTCTCCGGGTCTGTCGATTTCCTCGTAAAATTAAAAACTCCTAAGCGCAAGAGAATTATTGAAATAAATTGAACCATAGTTAGTTTTTGTCGAGTTGAAGTTCAATCCCCTCTCTCTCTCTCTCTCTCTCTCTCTCTCCTTATGTAATTAATATAATATCATATGGTTGAGTAAGTATACATATGGCGGTATATTAGATTCAAAATTCTAACGTACTATCGTCTATTCATGTAACTTTTAACTTAAGACAATGCATAATCCAATTTCATTATTTTTTCAGTGTAAATTTTAATTCTAGTTCATCTTATTTCTATTATTTAGACGAAAAAGTCTTCTTCATTGATGCTTTATACGTTTAGCATGAACGTCAACGAATTTAGAAGTTTTACATTTCTTTCTGCCTAGCAAACATCATGATGAAGTCGTTTGGTGTCGCCACTGCGTGCTCATTTGGTGATTGTGCACCTGGTCGGGACCATTATGTTGATACTAAACGACTCACTCTTCGTCTGGTTGATGGTTGGCCGGTGTGCTGGAATTTAGAGAGAGGGAGATATGGGATTTAACAACCACTCTACACAAACTAGATCATTTCGGGACTAACATATGGTTCAATTTTATTTCAATAATTCGTTTGCGCGTAGGGGTCTAGTAGGGAGACGAAACCGGAGGACCCGGAGAAACTCACGAGGTTGGCCAGGCTTGTCACGTACAACCGGGAGAATCGATGCAGAGATTGAAAATAACATCGAACGTGATATGGTTGGCAAATACTATTTCAAATATAAGCTAAACAACATTTTTCCATTTTTCCAAAGATTTAAAATTATTTAGAAATCCCATTTTGTGGGGATGAAACGGCCTTTAAAGGAGACCGGGTTAATCCTGTTCAAGTAGATAGCGATGAAGTTGTTATTTCTGATTCCTTCATTATACCGACCTGACTAACTTTATTCAAGTTGTATAAAGTGATACGAAATTTCATAGATAGCGGTGTTCTTGACGAAATTAAACCAAAATAAAATGGGGCTTATCGTTCAACTTTTCTACACCAAATGGACTAATGAAGACTGACTTAGAACATACAGTGTGCCATGGGTGCAATTTAGCCCGGACAACAGCGCCACGGTTTACTTTTATTACGAATTACAATAACGACAGCCTCCGCAAATCACAGGGACGGAACTAATATTGTCAACAAAGCTTAGTTTTGCCAGTGTGTATACTAGCTAACGATGTTATATAACCCATATACATATATATCTATGATATAACCGTTATTGATACAGGACGGTGGACTGGCACAGACAGTGGCTAGTCGTTTAGATGATATAAAGAGATATTTTTAGAGCAGTAAAAGAATATAGACCAATAGTATATAAATATTAACTGGCTTAACTGTAAAAAAAAACATCTCCAAAACCTGCACTTGTCTTTAAAAAAATTGAATGAACAACAGCACCTTATATTTGAAATAGTATTTACAAACCATATCACGTTCGATGTTGTTTTCACTCCGCCAAACCTGACGAAGAGCGAGTCGTTTGTATCAACAGAATGGTCCGGATCAGGCGCTCAATCGCCAAATTGAGCACACGGTGGCGACACCAAACGACGTCATAATGACGGTTGTAAGTAATCAAAATTCTAAATTTTACATGTAAGGCCCCAATGAAGTAGACATTTTTCGTCTTAATAATAAAAATAAAATGAAATAGATTTAAAATTTATACTGAACAAATAAAGAAGTTGGATTATAGATTGTCTTAATTTAGAAATTACCTGAATAGAAGTAACAAATTACATGGAGAGAAGTTAGAAATTAGAAGACAGCATGTTAGAATTTTGAATCTTCTATACCGCCATGATATACGACAGGTACAGGTTATCAAGATCGTGACAGTTTCATTATAAATCGTGGGGAAATATTAAAAATAGGCTAAAAACAGTAGTAGAATATACTTCCCTGTTCACTTTTAATCTACAGACCTTCCTAGTAGAAATGATATGAAATGAAATGGGGTTTAACGTCCTACTGTTCACCTTCCTAGTAACATATCATATATTTGTTACGTGATATATTCAGTGGATGTGTGTAAATATAATGAGGGTTTTAGTGACCATCCTTGCTTCCTTCCATTATATCATATGGTCTGTAGATGGTAAGTTAATGTGTTTAAACTGTACTATATAATATAGTAATCACCGTAATCTATAGTGGGCTATAAGGGCAATTTTGCCCGGACAGCGGCGCTACGGCCCACTCTTTGAATTTCAACTGCCCGGGATCTTTTTGGTACACGCGAATGTCGACCTATTACCTAAGAATAATACGGTTATTACTAATCTTATATTTCACTGTCGGAAATTTGACCGCCATCATCTTTATCACTGAACCTTGTTGCCAAAAAATATTTCCGACATACTAATCGACTCCTAAACCATTACTCCCTTGCCTGCAGTCGTTATCCCCAAGTCGCCTGTAGGCTGTACTCGTTATGACCAAGTCGCCTGCAGTCGTTATGCCCAAGTCGCCTGTAGTCGTTAAGCCCAAGTCACCCGGCAGTAAAAGTTATGAGCAACGAGTTAGAACTGGAACTTCTATTGACAGGAAAACAGGATACAATTCGGTATAATAGTTTTAATATCAGGAACCAAAATATACAGAATAATATTATACAGGCATAGTATGGTAGATAACTCCCCAAGCAGCTCGCGCTCTCTCTCTCGCTCCCCAAACCATATGTTAGTCCCGAAATGACCTAGTATGTGTCGAGTGGAGTTAAACCCCATCTCTCTCTCTCTCTCTATCTATCTCTCTCTCTCTCTGTCAATCAGCTCGCCCTCTCTCTCTTTTGTTACCGGATTATCTAATTTTGTGTCGATGATTATATTATTAATTATATCTATGATGTTCATGAGTATGAGGCGGGGGGGGGGGGGGTATTATAAATATTAATTAGTACATTCTTCATGTTCAATAATATTATTTTATTAAAGTGTTGAGTTTATTAAATATTATTATCATTAATTGATATAGGGGAAGATTGTTATGAAAATTATATTGACTAATTAGTATATAGAGAGACTGTTATAAGTATTATAATGATTATAATAATTAAAATTATATGCACGATGTTCATTAGTTTAGATGGAGATTGTGTTATAAATATTATAATGATTCATTAGCATAGGGGGAGATTGTTATAAATATTATAATGATTCATTAGTATAGAGGGTGAGTTTTATAAATATTATAATGATTAATTAGTATAGGGGGAGATTGTTATAAATATTATAATGATTCATTAGTATAGTGGGAGAGTGTTATAAATATTGTAATGATTCATTAGTATAGAGGGTGAGTTTTATAAATATTATAATGATTCAGTAGTATAGGGGGAGAGTGTTATAAATATTATAATGATTCAGCAGTAAGGGGGGGGGGGGGGGTATAACTATTATAATTATTCAATAGTATAGCGGGGAGAGTGTTATAAAAATTATAATGATTCAGCAGTATAGGGGGGGGGGGGGAGAGTGTTATAAAAATTACAATGATAAATTAGCATATGTATTATGTTCACTAGTATAGGGGAGATTGCTATAAGGTGACGTGGGGGTTCTTGTTTGTAGTTCTTGGTAACCATGGTTATCTGTATCAAGTTTGTTACCATCAGATAGGCTGCTGTAATTAGTTCCTGTTTCAATCTCACTGCTACTAGAATATGGAAGATTAGTATATGGAGAATTTGAGTTCCTGTTTTGTAATTCCTGGTAAGTATTATCTGTATTATTTCTGGATACATCAGACAGATTACTGTAATTAGTACCTGGTTCCACGTGAGTTATCGTTCTTGGATTCTCAGCACACGGATTATCAGGTTGTTTTATACACTTTAGTTTGCCCTTTCTGTAACAAAAACCCAAAAATAGGAAAAACATTTTTATCAAAACCCTAAAAAAGCTTAGAATTTGTAGGCATAACTACCCTTTAATCAAATGATCAGATTCTTATGGACGAAAATGAATAATATCACCTGTAAAAATATCAATTAACAATAATTTTACCTGTAAAAATATCAATTAACAATAATTTTACGGTAAAAATATAAATTGATAATAATTTTACCTGTAAAAATATCATTTAGCAATAAATTTACCTGTAAAACATCAAAATGTTACGTGTAAAAGTATCAATTGAAAATACTTTTACCTGTAAAGATATCAACAACATTTTACCTGTAAATTGATAATAAATTTACGTGTAAAATTATCAGTTAACATTATTTTACCTGTAAATTGATAATAATGTTACTTGTAAATTGATAATAATTTTACCTTTAACAATATCAATTTATAATGATTTTACCTGTAAAGGACCCCTAAAACTATGACCAGTACCAATGACAGAGATAAAATTAGAGCCAATACAATGATCACGGCATCTTTATCTGAAATAAATATTAATTTATAAACAAAAGTATAAAATCACTTTCAAGTACAATAAACTTAAAATATTAAAGCCGATTGTATTTTATGTATTGTTTAATGGTCGAGAGCGTGACATTAAGTAATATATTGTAACAACATGAGGGCCGTGAGGCCCGAATGTTTTTACAATATATTACGCAATGTCTTAAGCTCGAGACCATTAAACAACTTAAAATACAGACACTTGCACGTGCTTTGCAATGAAATACGTCACTCGAGTTCAATATTTTACCAAGTGACGCTTGGCACATTGCCCGTACGGTTATTTGAAATAATGGTACTCCAACATCAAAGGATGACGTCACATCTGTATTTTATACCGACATATCGCCCAGTCTATGACATTCCTGTTTGATAGGCGGCTACAAGTTTTAATCGGGGATATCACTAGAAGGCAATGCTATGGATATAAATTATACTTGTTGCCATTTATGACATTGCGTTTTGTGCCGTGTGAGTTAATATAGCACAAGCGAGTACAGCCGTACTATGCAACTTGGAATGGTGACGCCATATCTAAACTAGAAAATTCGTCAATCGATGTTCTGTTGTCCAACGAACAATATTACCAAATGAATTGAACTATTTCCTGTTTCAAAGACAAATGAAGGGATTCATAGAGTTGATCATTATGAAAATACAAGGCGAACTTAGCGAGATTTGTAAATATTAAGACATATGATGAGTACTAGAAAGACCATTTCCACAATGTCAATATTAGAACATTATTAATCAGAAAACTGATATTGGTAATAAGAACATAGGTGAATTTTCTATCACGTGTACCGACAATAAACCGACGATTATACTGCTACTTTCATTTATAATATTTTACTTCATTCAGTTAAATTTACCGTTAGCATCTTGTTGTATTCCATTGTCTGTTGGACTGGTTGATGGCTTTGATGTTGGACCAGATGATATTTCCGGTGACTGAGTCGGTGTTGGACTAGGTGATATTTCCGGTGTCTGGGATGATGTTGGACCAGGTGATATTTCTAGTGTCTGAGTTGCTGTTGCACCAAGGGATATTTCTGGTGTCTGAGTTGATGTTGAACCAGATGATATTTCCGGTGTCTGAGTCGGTGTTGTACCAGATGATATTTCCGGTGTCTGGGTTGAACTTGGACCAAATGATATTTCTTGTATCTGGGTTGTTGTTAGAAAAGATGACGTTTCCAGTGTCCGAGTTGATGTTAGACCAGATGATGATTCTGGACCATATGAAGAAATATTGTAAACTGTTGTAAAAATAGCAATTGTACTGGTAGAACGTAGATTTGTACTTGCATCTGGTCGTGAAGAGCTTGACGATGAATCAAATGGCGTCGTCAAACCTGTACCTGAAAACGTGGAAGAGGATAAACTAACTTCCTAACTACACTCGTCGTGAATCGTTTTTCAAGGGATCCTTGGTAAAAGGGATCGCCTTTCCGTGCTGCAGCACCGACAAGGGGAAACCTGATTAGAAAAGCCTGAAGAACTTCCGGGCCAACACCGAGATGGAGCCAGAGACCCCCTGTTCCAGTGCCTTACTTGCTGCCCCATCGTAGATTCTAGGACCTCCTGTTATAGTGCCTTGTTGGTTTCTGGGACGGGATAACGTTTCTCATCTGGTGACTTTGATATCTTTTTGAGGCTAGATCGATAAAGTTTCAAACCAAACTACGACTTATGATTTACTTATAGTAATTGAACACATCAAAATAAAACACAGCAGCAATTACTGAATTTTAATCAGATCTACGTTTCCAATATAGTTCTTTTAAAGTGTAATACTGATAGTCATACAGTGAGAAAGAACTAAAACTACTGAACACATGTAATCTTGGGGTTTCCAAGTTTTCGTCGAATCCAAATTACCTGACATGCATTTTTGTCAGACATTATATTCCATATATATTGTTATAGTATTAAATGTTTACCTTGCATTTCAACCCATAGTTTTAATATTTACCTTGTATTTCAATCCATACTTGTTGTGCCACATTGCGAGGTGCCCCATAAGTGGAATAACCTATGGCCGCTCTTTATCATTCAGATTGCTAGGTAGTGTAGTGTTATATCAATATTCATCCCATAAGAAGAAAGTTATTGCGTATGTAAGAGTGTGGTGAAAGGAATAAAGAACGGAAACCCCAATTTAATACCCTCAACCCCCCACCATTAATTTGTATGGTAAGGTGTAAACAGCATCATTAGATATTAGCTCACCTTCAATGTTAATTTCAAGAAATATGAAAATTGGAGATGGGTTTAGCGTCCACTCGACATAAACTGAGTCATTTTGGGACTAACATTTGGTTCAATTTTACTTAAATAATTCGCTTGCGCGTAGGGGCCTGTAGCAGTGGGGGGAGGGGGCGGAGGACCCCGAGAAACCAATGATGTTAGACAGGCGATCCAACTCCTTGTCACGTACAAGCGGGGAATCGAGCCCACTTGACCCAATAACAGATATTATGATCTAAAGCGCATGCTGGGATGTTCGGAACTTTCTACGATTATATATGAGAGAGAGAGAAATGGGGTGTATGTAGCACCATGAGTCTTCTGTCTGACGTGGAGAGCGTCTATGGGAAACCGGTCGCCACATCCTACGTATGACCCATGCATCTTTTCTTACTACATATTTCTGTAGCCTTGTGATCGTCTAGGATTTGTCTCTAGCTGTCTTTACTTCTGCTTCACGTTGTGTATTTACTTCTCACAGTTTCTTAAGACGTCTGTCTTACCAGGAATAATAATGCATAGTTCGCTTCTACATTTTATATAGCATATAACTGAATACAGGTATACAAGCATAGCACAAATTACAATACTATATAGCTAAAACCACTTCTCCACCCTATCCAGCCTCTCGGCTGTCTAGGAACTCAGATGTACCCTCGATCTCTGGAATCTAATGCAAGTCTGACTTACAGGGTTCCCCGGTTTCTTTTAAAGGTAAGTGAATATCATGCACAATAACGCGTGATCATGGCCCTGAACTTGTGTAATTAACAAAATGATTGGTTACTTTAAATCAAATGATGCAATTAGAATAATTCCACTAACGTGTAATTCTGGTGGTAAATGAGTGACATATGTTTTCGATAAATAGCTCTTTTTTATGTGTCAACTGTCAATTACAGACTAAGTTGATTTAAGTATTTTAAGTACATATCACATATTATGCGAATATGTTATTTCTCGAGCAAAAATTCTACTAAAAGTATTACATTCTTCCTATCCTTTAAGACTTTTTGCTCGGTATTGGGTAAAAGATCCCTTGAATCCTTTACAATAACCATACCAACATCTGTAGAATTATATAACTATTCATAAATGTAGCAGAAATCTAGAAAATCAACATATATCACCTCCCCCACTTGCAAGATTTATGCTAAATGAACAGGTAGGAGACTCTTAAAACTTCTTTGTGCTAAACCCTATAATTATTCATGCAACAGGCAAATATCAATGATACTATACTATATAACAAAACTGAAAACACAAACACACATATAATCAAAAATCAAAAATCAAGAGTTGCATGCAAAAGTTCTCCAAAAAGTTCATCACTGTAAAATCCTATGAAAATTCACTAAGCCCAAACACAGACAACACAAATTGTCTTTTTAAAATCTTCAAGTGTCCTAATTTCAAAACACTATAACACATCACGTAATGTTTATAAAGTTCAGGTTTCACTTCAAATTCTGTCTCAGGAAATGTCAATTTGGTAAACTGGTAAACCATTTCTTCTTCTTGGATTTGTATTGGTCTGTTTCAGCTACCATAGTATCAAGTTGAAACTTTCTATTTTTCTCTTCTAAGTATGGGTTGTACAATTTTATCCGTCAATCAAACATGTCATTGCCATCAGACCAAGAACTAACTATTACTATTTTTTTTTTAAACTTTATTTTCATATTAATCTAACATTATTATTTCGAAAATTATTTGTAAATCTTACTCGTAATTAAAAGTAACTTTATTTAAGTATTAATAAACTTTGATGTGTCCCTTTAATTATAAATCTTCAAACTTACTTTGACCTTATGACCTGAACTCGATCAGTAATTTTATAATTTCCGTTTCTGTTTTAGAATTCCTACATTGTTATTTTATATTTCACCGTCAGTAATGTGACCTTTTTGACCTAATCATTATAATCCACCATTTTGTATGTTAGTCAAAAACCAATACATGAAACACGCCCATGGTTACTTATTCCACATTAGTATCACCTAACACGTTATTTAGAATAGAACTGTCAATCAAATATGGCCAGTATATGAATGACATTCCATTTCATCCTACAGTTCCTATTCCATTATTAGTATTACATGTATATAAACATTATTTAGAATCATGTTCAAAGCAAGTGACGTGCACTTCACTCCCTCGGAACACCAGTCTATATTCTATAAACAAAACAATTAGAACATACCTAACTATATCCTATATATTATATTAATGCAATCCGTGACTTTTACACACGTCAAATTTAACACAGTGTTAGAACCTATTGTTTATAATAATTCGACCTCATGTCAAATTACACATTCTAATCCCTGCGTACATGTCGACAGCTTAAAGCAATTAGCAGTATATATTAAACGTTAATATTACGTTTCTAAAGCAAAAATTTAATTACATAAAATTATATACGGACAAAATTTACCGTATACTCCACTTTCCTAAAAAGTGTCATATTCTTAACTTAACCTCCTTTTAAACTCGTATTAATGACTTTGCGATAATCTCACAATTTAACGAGCCTATAATTTTAGGGTTTTTTTCCCAGGAAAACTATAACCAACATCCCTAGATTAACCATATGGGATTTTTTCTTTAACCTAACTTTTTAATCAAAAGTTAAATTACAACAACTCTAAGGCCTGGACTAAGGGCCTCAAAATTATATAGTTAATTAACCACACATACGAACGACACAAAAACACAAATTAACGAATCACAGCAGAAACCACGGCCAACTAGGAAACTAGAGTTAATCACTCACAAATTTCATCCTTAGCTCTGCCTTCTTTTCTACTGCAACCCGGAGACAACATTAGTTCCTTACTTTATTCCCTATTCCGTTTCCTTATTATTCCTTAGTTATATCAAAACAGTTTTTTTAAACCTACTCCCTAAACTTTCTCTTTAACTTTAATTTTACTCAAATTTACTACAGGTCATGTTAACCTGGCAATATACACACCTAACCAGTGATATTATATTGTTTAATATACCTATCAATCAAAACTTATGAATGACTGTAATTTATTCTCTATACAGTTAAATTTTAAATACTTAGTTTCTAAACAGATTTTAACTTTAAAGTAATATTATGTGGTCTTTAAACAAATTTAACACATTTAATTTTCCAAACAAAATGTATTTACGCAATTTTTCGAATATCTCCACCAGATTTTTTTTTCCACCAGACTTTTTCTGTTGCTGGATTGTACAGGTTTTCTTCTTCTTAACGTCTTCCAAATCAAATAATATGTATTCTTCTTCTAAAGTGACTTCTTACCCCAAAGGTCGAAACTGCGTTACGGTATCAAATTAGAATATGTAAGACTATGCAGTGACTGGTTAGATGTGGAAAATATTACGAGAGAACTCCCCACATCCAACGTGTGATGCATACTCTCTTTTCTTCTAATCTTCTTCCAAATTTTCTGCTTACCCTAAAGGTCGAAACTGTCACGGCAACCAAATAGAATATGTATTCTTCTTCCAGGTTACTTGATCTCGTAGTCACGTGCACCAAATAGAATATGTAGCACCATGAGTCTTCTGTCTGACGTGGAGAGCGTCTATGGGAAACCGGTCGCAACATCCTACGTATGACCCATGCATCTTTTCTTACTACATATTTCTGTAGCCTTGTGATCGTCTAGGATTTGTCTCTAGCTGCCTTACTTCTGCTTCACGTTGTGTATTTACTTCTCACAGTTTCTTAAGACGTCTGTCTTACCAGGAATAATAATGCATAGTTCGCTTCTACATTTTATATAGCATATAACTGAATACAGGTATACAGGCATAGCACAAATTACAATACTATATAGCTAAAACCACTTCTCCACCCTATCCAGCCTCTCGGCTGTCTAGGAACTCAGATGTACCCTCGATCTCTGGAATCTAATGCAAGTCTGCCTTACAGGGTTCCCCGGTTTCTTTTAAAGGTAAGTGAATATCATGCACAATAACGCGTGATCATAGCCCTGAACTTGTGTAATTAACAAAATGATTGGTTACTTTAAATCAAATGATGCAATTAGAATAATTCCACTCACGTGTAATTCGGTGGTAAATGAGTGACATATGTTTTCGATAAATCGCTCTTTTTTATGTGTCAACTATCAATTACAGACTAAGTTGATTTAAGTATTTTAAGTACATATCACATATTATGCGAATATGTTATTTCTCGAGCAAAAATTCTACTAAAAGTATTACATGTAACGCCCATTCGACACAAACTAGGCAATTTCGGGACTAACATATGGTTCAATATTATTTCATTAATTCGCGTGCACATATGAGTCTTTAGCAGTGCGAGGAAACCGGTGGACCCGGAGAAAATCCATGAGGTTAGGCAGTCGACCCTACTCCTTGTCACGTACAACCGGGAAATGGAAACCACGCCAGTTGGCTGAATGACAGACCTTATGATATAGCGAGCACACGCTAACCAATGGGCTATCCACAAACAAACACATGTTTTTGGCTAAAGTTTTCAGTTTTCTTGAAATATTTATATATTTTACATCACATTTTACTAATATGTCCCGAAGAGGCTCAAAAGAACTGAACATGTTAGCCAAAAACATGTGTGTTTTTTTTTCTTTTCTTTTTCAACGGAATTTTTTATAACATCCACATACACCTGTTGTATATCCTACTATATGTAGCGAAATTTAGATAAAGCATTTTACATACCTGTCGTGTAACCCTACTATATATATATAATATACACATACGACCGTATATACATACCTGTTGTGTGTCCATTTATAGATAACATAAACATATAGGCTAAATTAATATAAGCCATTTTGTGAATTTCAGACGTTGGCATGTTAAAAGATGTTCCTATCCACGTTTTATAAGTAGGTTTACAAAGAAGAACTTTAATGAAATAGAATATCGGGCGGTCGCGTGTGAAATGATGCTCCTATTTATCTTCTATATCATTGTTCACAAAGAGGAAGTTAAATTAAATAGAGTGTAATGCACTGCATATTATTTCAAACCATAACCGTAAATTAAAAGCTGAATTACACAGTGAGAGAGAGAGGGTGATATCTGAGATTAAAAGGCGTATGGCTCTATTCCTCGGAATCTTGAATGGACCTAAATGCGAGAGAGAGAGAGAGAGAGAGAGAGAGAGATGGGGTTTAACGTCCACTCAACACAAACTAGGTCATTTCGGGACTAACATATGGTTTAATTTTAGTTCAATAATTCGCTTGCGCTTAGGGGTCTTTAGCAGTGGGAGGAAACCGGAGGACCCGGGGAAAACCCACAAGGTTGGACAGGCGATCCTACTCCTTGCCACGTACAACCGGCGATTCGAAACCACGCCAGTTGACTCAATGACAGGCCTTATGATACAGCTAACCATTCGAACATCCCCCCCCCCCCCCGCCCTGGACCTAAAAGCACAAATCAATGTAATATGAATGTATATACAGTGATATATATTCAATTATAAAAATATTTATTGTAAGTTCTAGTCATTTAGGTTCAGTGAAATACATGAACAGATCAATTTGAACGAAAGTCCTTTACGCCTGTTTAGTCAATTCTACACGGTTTTTTTTTCAAATTTATTATTTTGTTGTTTGTGAATCAGCCAACCGATTACTTCCGCATTGTCTTATACGATATGTTTTTCTGTGTTGATTACAGGTTTCATGTACTGATATTAAAATGTCCATTGTGTCTTAATGCTAGCAGGGGGTGCTGGGGAGGGGGCTGAATGGTTAGCACGTGCATGGGCCGTCACACATGGGGGGGGGGGGATACGGGGGCGGGGGTGTGTGAATATACTTGGACCCCCCCAAAAAAATTTACATAGTAGGCCCAAAAACTCCTATTTATTTACAACAATTATTAGGATTAGTTAAGATTCTATCTGTATAAAACCTGTACATATCCCAATATTGGTTTATACGGCTAAAATAAAACACAGAGATAATCATCCTGGAAACATGTGTGAAGTGAAAAGTACCCGTGTTCCATAAAATTGTGTCTAGTTAGCCTGTCAGTAATATTTTGTTAATTTTTTTCTGCCACTTATCGGAGTGAATCGCATGTAGGTACCCAAAAACATAACCGCCTAAACCAAATATTTATCGCCCGCTCAGACAGAAACGTAACCATAATGAAAGACACCATGGCCACATGGTGTTTGTTTATATTTTTTAGAGGTTTTAAAAAATGGGTTAGGGTTAGGGGTTAGGGTTGCGCCCCCCCCCCCCCATATATATTTCACGGCTACGCCTCTGAGCACGTGCGCGCTGTATCATAAAGTCTGTCATTGAGTCAACTGGCGTGGTTTCGAATCCCCGGATGTAAGTGACAAGGAGTAGGGTCGCCTGTCTAACCTCGTGGGTTTTCTCCGGGTCCTCCGGTCTCCCCCCCCCCCCACTACTAAAGACCCCTACGCGAATTATGGAAAACAATTGAACCACATATTAGTCCCGAAATGACCCCTAGTTTGTGTCGAGTGGACGTTAAACCCCATCTCTCTCTCTCTCTCTCTCTCTCTCTCTCTCTCTTAATGCTAGGTTCCCACTGTCGTGCGACGCGTTACGTTGGATTGTCCCTACGGAGTCCTCGATCTGGTATACGTGCAGATACGTGCGGATACAATCAACATGGTTGCTACGACTGAAAATAATATATGATAAGACCTGATAGGATCATCACGATTACTCCACGATTAAAACCACGATTTCAATCATAGCGCGAATCGTTATAGTGGGAACCTAGCATTAATAATTGATGTTAAGATCCCATATTTTCACGGCAAGATAACAACATCAATATGGATTGAAATTGATCAATATTGAATTGTAATTAGTATTTACAATTTCTAATATCATGGACAATTTTGAGTTAGGGATTGACGTGTTATTTTACCTGACTGGACTTTGTTATTCCTTACTATTTCAGGTGTGACAATGACAAGAAAGAATGCAATTTGACAATATGTTGGTAATACATAACACACCTGCGCCAGGACAGTGTTCAGTAAAAATTACCGCGCGGTCTGCGTCTGAACAATGTTCAGTTTTAAATATTACGCTCACTGTGCATATGTCGACTATCTTATGCCACACCCCAACGACTTAAAGTTAATATTAAATTAAATATACTATTCATTATTTGTAATAATATCGTCACATATCGTTGTAAATGTGATATTAAACATGCATTATGCATGAGGTAAATCTGTCTATTACAGGCCTTTCTTTAGGTCTGAAATGTCATATAAACTATTAATTAGACATTTATTAACATGACAAAACCATAACAATCTCTCGATGCCATCTTATGGGTCCGATTTTCATTGGATTGGAATCTGATCTGCTGTTCAACGTCCGTTGATGATTAAATGCAAAATTGGATAATCTACGCAAAATCACCAAACGATCACAGTATCATGACATATTAAAGTTCCTTGTTGATTACAATACAGAAGGAGGAGGGGCGATTGGTTTAACACGTGTCAGATAGACCAAAATGTCGGTCATTAAGTCAAGTGACGTGGTTCTATTTCGTACAGTGGCTAAGTGGGTAAGACGCTGGCTCGCTAGCCTGGAACTCGTGTGTTCGATCCCTGCATTGGCCGAGTAATTTCATCTAGATTTTCCGACGTGGTTCCCCCCTTGTCAGTGATGCAGGATGGAGGGCTTGACAAGGACATCTGTCTAGTCATTCGGATGGGAGGAAAAACCGAGGTCCCGTGTACACATTGGCGTGCACGTAAAAGATCCCTTGAAAGTTGGAGTTCGGTTTAAGAGTAGACCGTAGTGCCGCTGTCCGGGCAAAATTTCCCTCATAGCACGTGCACTATATGACGTATGCCCGTCTTCATTAGCCCAGTTCAATCAGAGCAGTAGGACGTTAAACCCCATTTCATTTCTATTTCCTGCAAGTACGTGGGTTTTCTCCGGGTCTTACGATTTCATTCTAAATACCACTACGGGCAATTGATTTATTGAAATAAAATTGAACGATATGTAAGTCCCGAAATGATCTAGTTGTGTCGAAATGACGCTACACTCCATTTTTTGTTCGCCCCCTTTCTCTGTAATATACAAGCAAGTCTCTATTTAATGGTGTAATATAATATCGTATTGTTGAGTAAGTATACCTGTAATACACGACAGGTAAAGGTTATCAAGATCGTGACAGTTGCATGATAAATCGTGGGGAAATATTAAATCTAACAATAGGCTAAAAACAGTAGTAGTATATACTTCCCTGTTCACTTTTAGTCTTTAAAGCATCCTAGTAAAAGATCATATATTATATGTTTATTGCGTGTGAACATAATGAGGGTTTTAGTGACCATCCTTGCTTACTTCCATTATATATTGTATTTTTATGGTAAGTTAATGTGTTTATATTGTACTGTATAATAATCAATGTGTTAAAACTGTACTGTATAATAATCAATGTGTTATACTGTACTGTATAGTAATCTATCCACTGTTAGTGGCTCAGTGGGGTCGATCCCGGTGTTGATCATGCGTGGTTTTCCATAGGCACTGGGTTTAGTGTGGAGTGCTTGAAAGTGTCTAGGCGTTCGGTTGGGACGAAAACCCGGGGTGCAGTGTACAAGTTGGTGCGCATGTAATAGAACCCTTGTCGTTCATCCGAGACGAAAATCTCAACCTCCTTTACAAGTTTATAATCACAGACTACAAACAACTACACCACCCCCAACAACCGCTGAAATTATATTTACTCATAAACAAATAAATGGACAAAAACTATGGATTGAAATACAAGGTAAATATTCAAACTATGGATTGAAATACAAGGTAAATATTAAAACTATGGATTGAAATACAAGGTAAATATTGAACCTAAAAATATATCTGACGATAAACCAAACCCCTGGAAAACGTAAGGCTACAATTATTCTGATTAATTAAGCATTTTCACTAATGTAAACAGGCATATATTTATCTTTGGCAGATAACTGCATAAAGTAGCGACCTCTCCATGAGGACTATTACATGTATTTTCATAACGCCCATGAGATACTCGAAAAACAAAGATGGCGGTCATTTGCAAAATTGTCGAATTTCGGGAAACGAAACATCACTTTCTATGATAAAATAACACCAAAAACATATATTTTAATTTTCATCTGAATCGGACAAATATTGAGGGTACTAGAGGGTCCACAGACGTTGTACACGATTCACTTCTTGCATAAAAGGCAAGGGCCATAACACTTGTAGTTGCTGTCTGATACGAACAACAATCGATATGCTCCAAAATCCTTTGATCACAAACATTTATCGTAAGTTTCAACTGAATCGGACCGACAAATATGGCCGCTGGGGGAGTGCGGGGGGGGGGGGGCACAATCCACCTAGAATTATACATAAGAAACAGGGGCAAAATCCAAGGAGTTGCAGTTCGAAGCGCACCAAAATTGAATTTATCCGAGATATGTTCGACATAAGTATCATCAAAATTGTGACTGCTAGATTGTCCACAAATAGATATGAACGGATTTCATGACGTCCTGGCGTTCAGACATCCGGACTGGTAGACATTTGCGTCAACCTTATTCGTCTACAGGGAACATTGGCATATAAAATTTCTCTCAATCGGTCTAGTAGGTAGAATTTATATGAAAGAAAACAGAAAATGAAAGCCATCTTGGAAAATGATGGCCTTTTTGAAAATTTCTTAATATATTAAACAGCCCCCCTTCCATGCTTGTATCCAACTTTGAATGTTTTTTATTTACTACTTAGCTGCTCCATTATTATGTTTGAAAGGGACAAGAATTACATTGTGCAAATGAAATGGGGTTTAACGTCCAACTGTTAAGCTCCGACTGCGCTTATATAGACTGCCAAGGGTTCTTTTACCAAGGGTATTTCGTCCCATCCGAAAACTAGAAATTATGTAGAAACATAGCTCCACTTTCCATAAAACTATTGTGATTATAATAAATAAGAAATAAATTTTAAGTCGTTGTTTGGTTAAAAAAAAACAAAAAGAAAAACACTTTATACAAATAGAGATGTATCAAAGTGACATTTTTATTCGGGGTGTCTGAATGGAATTTGGGAACTGACCTAGCCTATATAAAGTAAAATCCTTCTCTATAAATAATATATGGTTCAATTTTGTTTTAATATTTCGCTTGCGCGTAGGAGTCTTTAGCAGTGGCAGGAAACCGGAAGACCAGGAGAAAACCCACGAAATTGGACAGGCGACAATCGGAGATTAGAAACCACAGCATGTGACTCATTGACAGACCTTATGATGCAACGCGCACGCCTTAACCATTCGATCACCCAACCCTCTAATGCAAAAGAACAAATGGGACATAGTTAAAATGGCAAACACATACACATTATATAGATATAATAAAATGGATGAAAATGTACAGTATATATTATAGGTTATATCTATACAAACATACATAAACATTATACTACTAAATAACATTGGAGAACAAGCCAGAGTTATACATAAATTGAAAATGAAATACTACTTGATCGAGATTAAAATCTGTTTGACATTGAGTGCATGTAAAAGAGGCCTTGGTGTTCGACGGACAAAATTTCTCTCATGGAACACTGTCCGTCTTCATATTCCAGGTTGGTACAGAAATGTAGAACGTTAAAGTAAAGGTAAACACACGATTCATGACTTGATAGGAAACGATATCCAATTTTTCTTTGTACTAGTTGAAGCAGGTAATGCCAAAAAGTAAAAGTAGACAAACGATTCATGACTTGTGTTAAGTTTATACCCTTCCTCTTAATTAGGTGCAGGTTTGACAGGTCTTTGCAACAGAACAACTACAACAAGTACGCCTTTATCTTCTACGAATAGTGACATTACTTCCAGTAAGGCGGCTGATTCCCCTACAGAAGAAAGGACAATTACCAGTTCTGCACCCAACCATACAAGTACAGCTGTATCTTCTACCAATGCAACTAATCATACAGAAAATACAACAGTTTCCAACACAGCCAACAGTCATATGATATTATCTGAAACATCCAAATCACCAACAAGCCCAACAGATAGTAAAGCACAACAAATTGATCACGGTAAATGTAACAGAATAAAACAAAATTAAAGTGAAAGTAGGAGCAGAACTGTTTGTCTGTCTGAGGTCCAAATGATATAAATCACACCTACGTCCTTTTTCCCATTTTCCCATTAACTGAAGAAAGTAAAATTATAAATGAAAGTAGCAGTATAATCGCCGGTTTATTGCAGGTACACGTGATAACAATACATCTAGGTTCTTATTACCAATATCAAAAACAGTCAGTTTTCTGACTAATAACGTTCTAATACTGGCATTGTGAAAGTGATTTACACACGTTGCGTTTTCTGATTAATATTTTCTAATACTGACAATGTGAAATTGTCTTTCGTGTAATAATTAACTAAACACACCTGCATTCTTATCACGATAAACAAAACATTAACCAGGCCAACAGAGATCGGAGCAGACCAAACTGATAACGGTAAATTAAACATAATATAGCCGGTTAATCTACGATCCGTGTGATAGGAAATAAACGCATATTAGTAATGACAATTAACAAAAGCATTGAACTAATAATTAATATATTCTAATATATTGACATTGTAAATATGATCTTCCTGATACTCGTGTAATGTCTCAAGATTTACAAACCTCGTCGTTCATAGTATTATCATTCTTGTTAGCATCGATCAAGGGTAACATGCCAACCAGTGTTATTCTTGCAGCCATGCTCTAGAACCTCACAAATCCTTAACCTGTCTCTGCTGTGTATTGAAATATTGTTATTCAACAATAGGTTGCTTTTGTTTAGAGGCTTCAAAAAAACGACAGCAATTTTACCAAATATATGCATCGCGCGCCGCTCCTCAAAACCGCCACTCAGCTTCGTGTAACATTTACTGCTGCCTTCTGTCTCCAAAAGCTGACCGACTGGTGCCACTAATGATTCACCAAGCTAAGTTGATTTTGTTAAAGATTTATGAGTAGTAACTTGTGTTAGACAGAACAAGAACCAGCATCTTGAGTCTATTTTTGTTTCCGTCAAATTTGAAATCAAGCCTATTCTTAATTATTTTATTTACCTTAAATTTGCCTTCTACAATGACATCTCTAGAACTCACCCCCCTCCGTCAATATGTAATACAGATACCGCTGTAGGTTTGAATATCCAATACGGTTTTCAGTCATTGGACGATCTATTTGCCCAGTCGGGTTTATATGGAAAATTGATAGACTTTTTAAAAGAGGCAGATTTTAATTTAACTTTTAATTTTCTGCGATATATTAAATAGTGATCTGTGATATGAATTTAGATATTTAATAGTGATCTGTGATCTGTGATATTATTTTAGATATTAAATAGTGATCTGTGATATGAATTTAGATATTTAATAGTGATCTGTGATCTGTGATATTATTTTAGATATTAAATAGTGATCTGTAATATGAATTTAAATATTTAATAGTGATCTGTGATCTGTGATATGATTTTAGATATTAAATAGTGATCTGTAATATGAATTTAAATATTTAATAGTGATCTGTGATCTGTGATATGATTTTATATGTTTAATAGTGATCTGTGATATGATTTTAAATATTTACTAATCTGTGATAATTGTTAACATTTTGGAATATTCATGTATTTTTGTTTTTCAAATTAGTCTGGAGCCACGGTGGCTAAGTGGGTAAGACGTTGGCTCTTTAACATGGAGGCCGGGTATTCGATCCCTGTATTGGTCGAGAAAGTTCATCGGAACTTCCCTACGTGGTTTCCCCATGTCATGTATGGCGAATGCCCGTCTTCATTAGACCAGTCGGAGCAGAACAGTAGGACGTTAAACCCCATTTCATTTCAAATTAGTCTGTCTAGAATAATTTACCACGTCTTGCGCAGTATACTCCGATTAGTGCTGACGTGCCATTAAACATATCATTTCAATTCTAAGAAATAAGAATAAATTTATTGTTTTCTTTTTTCTTTTCTTCAGAAATATTTATAATAATTGGCTGTTCTGTTGGTGGATTAGTGTTGATATTATTAATACTAATAACTGTGTGTGTTGTATTCAGGTGAGAATTCTTTTATTGTTTTAATCTATTGTATATATACTTGTATAATCTGTTAATCTATTGTATATATATATATATACTTGTATAATCTGTTAATCTATTGTATATATATTGTATCATCTGTTAATCTATTGTATATATACTTGTATCATCTGTTATAGTCGATAAAACAGTAGTCCGTAGCGCCACTGTGTGGGCAAATTGTCCCCATAGCCCATCTTCATGAGGCAAGTCGGAGTATTAGAACTTTAAACCCCATTTCATTTCATTGTTCACCTTAGTTTTAAATAATGGATCGTAACCTAGTTAGAAGTATTAAGGTTGCCTTATTGTGCCGGTATATGATCAGAATCATGAAACGTAAATGTTCATATATTTAATTTACTGGTATTAAAAAACATAGGACAGTCCGGTTCGAGTTTGGGCTAAAATGAGTTGAACCCATCGACTCTATTGCAAATAATTTTCTGATTTTATATTTTAGAATACGAAGAAACAAAGCCATTTACCATCATCAGAATCTTGATGTCCGTGTACACATTAACAATACTACTCCACCTTTTTTCGTACTGGATGGTCCTGTCTTAAATAAACAGGACCCGGATGATAAACAGGGTGATATCAGTCTCAATCCATCTCCCATGGCAGCCAGAAATATACCAGAATGTATGGTTGTTAATAAAAATGGAAAAAGATTTAATGTGGCTGGTGGGAATCCACCTAATCAAGTAACCAAGAGGGAGGACACTGATGTGTCAGATGTGGAAATCCTAGAAAATGATCTGTACATTCCATACGAGTTATGTAACAATCCAGATCATCCTGGTCCATCTCCAGCTAATGTTACATCCACAGATCGGGCATCTGGAGAAATGGAAATCCTAGAAAATGATCTGTATATTCCATATGAGTCATCCAACAATCCAGATCATCATGGCGCTTCTCCGGGTAATGTCAGTCTCAATCCATCTCCCATGGCAGCCAGAAATATACCAGAATATGCGGTTGTTAATAAAAATGGAAAAAGATTTAATGTGGCTGGTGGGAATCCACCTAATCAAGTAACCAAGAGGGAGGACACTGATGTGTCAGATGTGGAAATCCTAGAAAATGATCTGTACATTCCATACGAGTTATGTAACAATCCAGATCATCCTGGTCCTTCTCCAGCTAATGTTACATCCACAGATCGGGCATCTGGAGAAATTGAAATCCTAGAAAATGATCTGTATATTCCATATGATCCAGATCATCATGGCGCTTCTCCGGGTAATGTTACATCCACAGATCGGGCATCTGGAGAAATGGAAATCCTAGAAAATGAGCTGTACATTCCATATGAGTCACCCAACAATCCAGATCACCATGGCGCTTCTCCATCTAATGTTACATCATCAGATCGGCTATCTGGAGAAATGGAAATCCTAGAAAATGATCTGTACATTCCATATGAGTCACCCAACAATCCAGATCACCATGGCGCTTTTCCATCTAATGTTACATCCACAGATCGGCTATCTGGAGAAATGGAAATCCTAGAAAATGATCTGTACATTCCATATGAGTCACCCCACAATCCAGATCATCATGGCACTTCGTCAACCAATGTTAAACTAACAGATCGGGTATCTGGAGAAATGGAGATTATGGAAAATGATTTATATGTTCCTTTTGAGTTATCCAGCAATTCATATCATCGTGTTGCTTCACCAACAGATCGGGCAACCGGAGAAATGGAAATCATGGAAAATGATTTATATGTTCCTTTTGAGGACTCGGCTATTAAAATTTCGACACCTTTGAAAAATGAAATAAAATGAAATGGGGTTCAACATCCTACTGTTCTTGTCATACTGGGCTAATGAATATGGACCTTTGAACAGTACTGTGAATGATAGTAATTCTGAAATTGGGACTAATCAAGACTTTGCTACATCTGTAAATCCTAGAAAATGATTTATATGTTCCTCTTAAAAACTCTGATAACAGTATATAAAGGATTGTATGTCTTCTTTTATATCGACCATTACCGTGTACAAGGTGCTTGCTTTTTTTTTTGGTGTGGGGGGGGGGAGAGAGATTTCGACTCATATAGAATTACAAATTCTTTAGTAAACATTAGCGGCCACGGTGGCTAAGTGGGTAAGACTCTAGCTCGCTAGCCTGAAAGTCGCGTGTTCGATCCCTGCATTGGTCGAGAAAGTTCATCGGGATTTTCCGGTGTGGTTTCCAGGACGGACGTCAAAATACTATAACTGTGTTATCTCCCTTTAACAATATTGATCAACTCTAAAATTACTTACTATACCGAAATATAACATTATGCGAAGAATTCTTTGTAAAAAGGAGAGATAATATATTCTCCCTGTATATTTAATCGATATATTAATTGTATATTTTATCAATATATTGTACATAACATGCCAGTTTAATAAAAACAATAATTGTAAAAAGTGGGCTAGCTAGGACCCCGACTAGTAATTATCTCCCTTTGACTTCAATGTTAAAACTACAATTTCATATTTTTAAGTTATATTTTTAAAATTTATTGAAATAAAGCCTTAAAATAGATGGTATCCATAAACCGTCCTACCTTGTTAAAGAATAATCCTATTAATCCTATAATTCACTCTTGCCAGCTGAGAAATTGGCAAAAATATCATTTTCAACTTCAAATTCCAACGTTTGAAGGTAGCTAATGCATGGAGGCAATAGGAAAACAAGGGAGGTAATTGTGTTATTATTTCCTGTGTCAATGATTTTTAAGGGTGGGAAATAATGCCCATGGTCGTATAATAGTGAGTTGATAACCTATTGTTCAAAAGACATAGAAATAATTATGTTTTGACTTTCTTAGAAAATATGAAATTATCGCTTTAAATCCATGACATATCTTGGCTAAAATAACACCTTTTTTCATTTTTCGATGATCCTAACGGCAAAGAGCCCAACATGTCACATTGATCTGAATAAGGGGGAGAATGGGGGGGGGGGGCTATTTCGGTATTTTGCTAGGCCTGGTCAGGGGAATCTATAGGCAGTGGCGTCATTTTAGCAGGCGATCACCCTAATTCCTGATCCTTTCGCACCAAAATCATGAATATTCACCAAAAGCTGGCAGAAAATAAAGGAAATTCTTGCCATCCGTCCATAGGCTGGTGATTGGCTAGCATAAGTTGTTACCTGGGAACCATGTTTTCTAACGTTAAAAACTATAGGACTCCACCTATAAGAAATTAGGTTATTTCAGTTCAGAGAGAGAGAAATGGAGTTAAACGTCCACTCGACACAAACTAGGTCATTTCGGGACTAACATATGGTTTAATTTTATTTCTATAATTCGCTTGCGCATAGGGGTCTTTAGCAGTGCGAGGAAACCGGAGGACCTGGAGAAAACCCACGAGGTTGGACAGGCGACCCTACTCCTTGTCACGTACAACCGAGGATTCGAAACCACGCCAGTCGACTCAATGATAGACTTTATGATACAACGCGCGCACGCTAACCATTCAGCCATCCACCCCCCCCCCCCTTATTTCAGTTCAAGGCACTTGTTGACATACATTATGCAAGAGCTAAATCTGCCTATTGCAAGTCTTTATTGAGGCTTCAAATGTTATAGAAATTATTAATTAGACCTTTATTTACATGACAAGCTCAAAATCAACTTTGTGGGCCCTCGGGTGGCTTGGATAAAGCTAGAAATGGTTCCACTATTGATGTCTTCCGCCTGACTCCAGTAGTGGCTCGTCCTAACGGCGTTCCTTTGCGCAAGATTTTTAGTCAAATGACTACAAAAAGGTTACTGGCCTATAGCTCCCTTAATTTACGCATAAACTGACCCAAAACTGTACTGCACATAAATTAACATATAATAAACTAATTCCCATTGAAATAAAGGTGAACCCTTACCGCATAAGTATGTGATTTGATGAAACTCAACTGCTAGGCGAAATTTCTCGCCAACCGAACTTAAAATGTCTGTCCAGTCAGAAACAGCATGCGCACTTCATCTCACGTGATCATACGTCACTTTCCATATATGGTTTCATGACCATAATTATATGCTAATGACTTTAGCGTGGGAAAAATGCCCGAAACAATAATAGACCTCGTGTTGCGGAGGATGGGTATTAAGTTGATTATTGACTATGTTGTTCAAAAATCTGATGTAATGGGCGTTTGGATTTGGCAAATCTTTAACATTTATTATGATCCCATTAGGTTTAGATGAGGTAAGAATTTTTCGTCAAAAGTTGACAAAAATAAATGAATGAATGAATGAATGAATAAAATGGGGTTTAATGAATTCATTTTTGATAATTAATTTTATAACTAAATATTCCTCTTCCAATACCTTTTTAATGGTCTTGGCTATTTTAGCCTTACCCATAACCCTTGTAAATAAAGATTTTTTAGTAGCTGGCTTGCTGCTTGTGAAAGACTTCCCACAGTTGCAACATTCATCTATTTTGGACAAAGTCTAAGTTTAGTTTCGATTTCAAAGACCAAAGACACGTGATTCCTGTCATTGACAGCTCAGTTAGTTTCGATATTCTCTGATAGTACCTTGAAGAAGAAGAAGAAGAAGAAGAGGGTACCTCTTCGAAACGTTCGTGTAACAATATCTGACGATGAAAACAGTGTTAGTGTCTCTTTTATTTATCAACTTTAATAGTGGTCGAGCGTAGAATCACGGCCTTATATGGAAAGCGATGGCCGGGTTAACGCGTCGCGGTATTTGGCGAGATTTCAACCGGCCTGTGTCATGGCGGCTTTCACATTATAAGAATGCATCGCTTTGAAAATGTAGAACTCATTACCACAATTACTTATTTCAATACAAACTGTAATGATATGTGTTGACAATTGTGCGTGTGAACCTATTCGAACTTGCGTAAGGAGTCTTAGACTGTATCAATTGAAGCTTGAATTTAGACTGTCGTCCATTTAAATTTAAATCAATAAATGGCGGACCAAGCTAACGTTTACCGTTAGTCACTGACGTCACTACTGGAGACTGCCGATGAAGGGTCTTCCAAGCGAGGTTACCAGAGCCATTGAAAATGTTACTTGATAATCGAGAATATATGGGTGGAGTTATCGTCTGTCAATCAAACGATCGGCAATTCTCGTAGACGGTGCGGATACAGTTGATGTCTACTAGTATTTCTAGTCCAAACTCTTTGACTGAAATTTTCTTTTCTTATCATCTTTTTTTGAATTATGGCCAACGGTTTATCACACTCTTAACTAATGTATCATTGATTCACCACATATGTTTCAAATAATCGTGGAGGATCACGGTGGCTAAGTGGGTAAGGCGCTGGCTCGCTAGTCTGGAGGTCGGGTGTTCTATTCCTGCATTGGCCGAGAAAGTTCATCCAGATTTTCCGGCGTGGTTTCCCCTTGTAAGTGATGCAGGACGGAGGGCCTGACAAGGACAACTTTCTATTCCTTCGGATGATACGAAAAACCGAGGTCCCGTGTATACATTAGAATGCACGTAAAAGATCCCTTGGCAGTTGGAATTCGATATAAGAGTAGGCGATAGTGCCGCTGCCCTGGCAAAATTTCACTCATAGCACATTGTATAGCGTAAGCCCGTCTTCATTAGCCCAGTATAGGAGCAGAACAGTAGGACGTTAAACCCCATTTCATTTCATTTTCAAATAATCGCCGTGGTGGACTAATCCTGATTAAACAACACGAGTCGTCGATATACGTTCTAAACATAACATTCTCTTCATTTCTGAGGGGTTGGATGGCCGAATGGTTAGCACGTGTTTATTTAGGACCGAATAAAATTGTTTGTAATAGTTTAAATTGGTGCAATAAGATAAACAAAATTAAACAACTTCTAGGCTAATAGAGCAGACGACGTATTCCCCGCGCAGGTAAAGTTATTGTGATTACAGTCCCTCTTGTTATGAAGACTGTGGTATACAGCGAGCGAGTGTCTTACCGTTACCAGACGCTGTAGAGTGTGAAATCACATCACTTATCAATAAATGTCTTTGACGAGGCAAGTCGTCCTGTGTTAAGTACACATGTCTTGTTAAAATAAAAGCAGACGGTGTAGTCCGATCGTTAATGTAAATCCGTCGGCTTTTCGGGTAGAAATCGTGGAATAAGCTTTATTTTGTAGGTTTTGATGTTTGATTACCAAAAAACAATGTTGACATTTTTTTTGAGTAGGTCTTCACAGTATGGGAGGCCATTATTTGAGGGTAGTCATTTTGCGATAATATTCCAAATTATTTTTTATTTTCACCTTATTTATAATGTTATCGACATATTAACTGTATTTGGCAATGTATTAATATTGGCGGCATTCATGACTATTTCTCATATTGTTTTCCATCGTTTCATGATGATATTTCCAAGATGGCGCCCATTTTTAGCGGGAAAATCCGTCGATGTGCTGATTTCGATTAAGTAGTTGTCTTTGGTGACAATATATATGTTTTCGGGGAGGCAGATTCGATTTCTGTGATATACAACTACGTAAAATGGTCGTATGTTCACCAATTTAGCATATTTCCAAGATGGTGGAACGTTTTCTAAACACATTATTAGCATTTATTTATCATCGATTTTCCTGGGAAAGTAAAGCCTATTCCTGGCATGAAGGCAAAAAGAGCATAGCGGCAGCGTGGTGCTTACGCCACGTGCCCATCATGCGCCTGCAAGGACCACACCAAGCGCTTACTACAAGATCTTTCTACGCCCATTGCCAAGATCTGGCTGCGCGAAAAGTGTTCCCACCATGATCTCACGGTTACCAGTCCGACCGGGATACTTTCTCACCACACTCCAGTAACATGCCTACCAGGCGTAAGGCGTTCTCTCTTCATGCCTATAGAGACTGTGTCATGCTCACCCGTCCTCATTCACTTTCAAAGCAGAAAACAAACAATAGTCAAGCAATCAAGAACATTTCATACTTTTCTTGAGGTTTCCTCTTTGGGTGCTAGACTGGAGCTGATGGACGAGGCTCAGTATCTTCCCTATATATACATAAAGTTCGTAACAGCGTAGCAAGCATATGGCCAGGAGCTTCGTTCCAGCCTGGCAGCAACGTGGATGATAGTGGTGGGGACGTGGCTGTAAATGAAATACTTGCTAAGAAGCCCTCATAGCATAGATTATCTTATCAACTGACTTCCAAGATTAAAGTAGAACGAACATGTGGAATGCTATTGCGCTGGAGTTCAACTACTACATTGTTGGATAATATACCTAATGGGTAAACTCGGCACAGTCTTCCAGGAACATGCTACAAGCTTATACATAACAGAATTGGATTCAGAAACCTTTACAGTAATGTGTTTAGAAAACGTCCTGCCACAAACAAAAATATGCTGAATGTGTGAACATACCCCCATTTCACGCAGTTGTAAATCGAATCTGCGCCCCCGAAAAACAAATATTGACACAAAAACGCGACAACGTAATCAAAATCAGCACATCGTCCCATTTCCCCGCCCGACATGAAAGCCATATTGGAAATATGCTAAATATGTGAACATGTGATAATTGTACACAGTTGTAAACGGCAAAAA